CACACACACAATACAAATATATAATATACAAAAATTATGTGCGTCTCCTGCGGGCTAAGCCCCCTGGTCTTTAAAACGTAGTGACACCCCTGCTTTTACATACTGAAAACTAGGACAAGCAGGTTTTAGACACACTGAAAGATGCACAGCTTTGGCCTGAGTTTTCAGCTGGCACGTTTAGCAGGCAGGTAGAAAGAACAGATTCCCTGAAGGATTATACGTGTGGGTGTTTGTGTGTTCAGTGCTGTTTCTTTWTGTCGAAATGGATGCAAAACACTGAGGCTGCCAAAGAGGCCTAATGGCACAATTTACATTCTAATTTCTGTCTTCTACGTTTTCTGTCCTGTCCAGGTGCGGCGTAAAGTCAAGAGTGATGACAGCCCTCGCATCAGACCAAGTGACTTGCGAAATTTCATCACCATGTTTGTAGTATTTGTGCTGTTCGCCATCTGCTGGGCCCCTCTGAACTTGATAGGTTTGGCGGTGGCAATAGATCCGACTCGCGTGGCTCCTCGCATCCCCGAGTGGCTCTTTGTCGTGAGCTACTTCATGGCCTACTTCAACAGCTGTCTGAATGCCGTCATATACGGTTTACTCAACAGGAATTTCAGGAATGAATACAAACGCATTGTCACCTCGGTCTGGGTGACGCGGCTCTTTGTGACGGAGACATCGCGCGCCGCCACAGACGGCAGGAGCATGAGGAGCAAGCAGTCGCCGCCTCCGCCGCTCAACAACAACGAGTCCATCAGAGATCGAGTAAACAAAGAATGAATCTTGGACTTTTGAGCTTGTCGAATGGTAATTCCTGTTTTGATGTGATATCCAGACAGCTGTGCAGCTAAGGAGTAACAAGTGACAAATGAAACTGGAAAACATGGCTCTGTTTTCTACTAAAGAGCTGCAATATAAACACTTATACGATTTATATGTAAGCTTTTGAAAATTTCTAAAATGTTTCATGGGTTAGCTCAACAACTTTTAAAGAGAAAAAAATATTTTTATTCTTTTAATAGGTTTTTGTTTTTGCATTCCCAAAGCTATGAGAAAACCAAGCTATGCATTGCAGTTTCATGCTGTTATTATTACTCTAACAATCTGAATGGTACTTTAAGATTTCAATGATAATGTGMGATCTTTTAATGTCTGCTGCTGGAGACTTTGACATTACTCACAAAATGGGTWACCACTACTAGTAAATACACACTTAGTAACTTCAAAAGCCTCAAATAGTTAAACTCGCCTCACACAAATGCCATAGATTARTGAAGGAGGAGATCATTAAGTCTGTTATTCATGTATGAAAGAGTTTTACACAGTGGCAGTGGTGTGGTCAGATTTACACATTAAGCCTGAATGCTGCAGTAGCATAAACTTTATACTGCCTAGTCTGACCTTCTTGCACTGAAAAGAACAAGTAACAAAAACTTAGTAATAATCACCATTCAGGATCATAACTATAAATCATAAGTTGAGTCATATCTAGCACCAAATCGTGTCACAAGATGWGAGTTTTCTGAAAGTTGTGTGTCTGTGATGTAGCACATAGGGGACCCCTACCTGCTGCAACCATAGCTGCTGTTTCCACCAGTCTGCACTTTGTCTGTACTCTCCTATAGTTTGTCRTGATGGAACTTTGCTGCTGTGTTTTAATAAGCAAATTATTCATWATCAAAGCAGCTTGGTTTATTTACTCAAATACAAGATTTTACTATACCTTCAAATGTTTTTTAATGTAGTTATTTAGCAGTATAGCTATATAAGGAGGACGGGCAGTGATTTTTTTTTTTCAATATTTGACTATACTGTCAGAATAGGTGCATGCCCTCTACCCTTCTGTTGATCCTTTGGGCCTATATAAAAAAAATGAAGTGAATCCCAAATTTTTGCACAGGTTACGTTCTTGGAGTATCCGTGAATCGTGAAAAAAACTTGTATACTGGATGCGGTCCAAAACAAGGGTCTGCARTGCTTTTTGGTGGCATCATAATGCGATAAGAAGCAAACATAAAAACATGAGAGTGAAATCGTTAGCAGCTGCCCACCACACAGAAGGCAGAAATGCTGCACTTCTGGCAGAGCATGTGTCGCGTAACACACTGTACTGTTTTTATTTATTTATTTATTTATTTTTAATATGGAAATGAATTTATGCGAAAATAGTTAAGGATATTGTTCTTAAGTTAGCTTGAAAACTCACAAAAATGTGTGAAAGAGGAAAAAATAAGTACAGTGCACGGTATTTAATGCATTTCTGGTTTCCATGAAATTACAAGGATTAGAGCAAACAACTAGTAGTTAGGTTCCATGAAAACTGTGAAATGTGACTTTTCATGGCTTCACCATAAAAACTCTTGGCTACCAAGATTTGGAGCAGCACATGTCTCTGTACTCAAAGTATCTTGGTCTTTCAGCCGCAGAAGTTGGGATGAGTAAATCTTTCCAACCGTGTGGACATGGTCACTTTTTAAGCAAAAACTGTATTTTGCTGCATTTTAACATTTTCTTGTGCTGAGACTTGTGCTCGCTCAGTCCAAAGATTAGAACATGACAAAAGAGGCTCCACATACAAAAAGTGGAAGTCTGTTCTGTGATGTCAACTGTTGCTAAAATTAAAATGCAATAACTATTTGCAATTTCCCTAAATGTCCAAGTGCAACTGCTCGAGGGTTTTTCTTTATGCGCAAATTGCTATGCAATTCAAACCACTGCTTGTGTCACAGTACAAGACATCTAACAATGGTCGCATCAGAAAAAAGATAACTGATCATTGGATGTTGAAGCATATTACATGACAACAAAAGCAGGTCTGGATTTTTTTTTCTGTTCTACTTGATTAAAAAAATARTCATTGAATCACTGAAGAAATAAACTGTGTAAGTCAGATCAGCAGACTGGGTTCCTCTGCGTCCTACATCATTCTGCATACAAAGGTATTTAATGTGATGATACATGTTTTTCAATCTAAAAAAGTGCTTGAGTTTGTCTTTTTTTCATTTTTTCTAGTAGTTCATCTGAAGTTTTATTTTAAAAAGACTGTAACAGGGATGAATTTTGATGGTTTCACTGTGGAATTAAATCAAAGATCGAACTAGCGGAAGACGTAAAGCAGTGGCAGTATTATATTTTTAAAGAGTGACACACATCGCCACTTTACTGAAGAGTGTTTTCAACAATGTTTTTTTGTGGAGAAATTACAGCTCATATCTGTATTCCCATCTCAGGGTGCCTACTGAACATTTTGTTGTGATATACTGTAAACTTGTCCAGAACATTTGCAGTTGAATAGCTGCACAAAAAAGAAAAGAAAAGAAGAAAAATGGAGTCTGAAGACCTGTCAAAGAGATATTTTGTAAATTAGTGCCAATGTGGTTTTTAACTGTGGTTAATTGTTATTGGAAATGTATTCAAAATGTGTTTTTATATATATTTGAAGCTTAGTAACCCCATGCAATTAACTGACTATTGTTGGAAAGTTCTCAGCTTCTCTTCTCATTAAATTTGTTACATTTTGCAGAGTGCATCTAAAACAAACTCCTGAACATTTGGCACACTCATTTGCGTTGATGCAAATGTATTTGCTTGAAAATAATACTGGATAAGCTCACCTTCAAATCACAAATTTGTAAAAGAAATTGCAAAACCAACCATGCATGAAATGTCCCGCTTTTGTGTTTAATTTGCCATTAAAATTAATTTAGCAGCAGCACTTTAGTGCGCACTCAAACAGGGTAGAATCTAATAAAAGCCATAGGGTCAGGAATGGTTACTGTAACAGATGCAGAGCAAAAAATAAAAAAAATAAAAATAAAATAAAATTGCAACATGAAATATTCATAGGGAAGGATAGATATGAAACAACTGCAAGTCCAGGTGGGATATGTGGATACAATGACATCTGTGGTGCAGAACGGTAGATTTAGCTTGTTTGCTGGAAAGATGAGGCTTACAGCTGAGACGGTGGAACTGACAAGAGAGTTCAGTGAGGTCATCCGAAAAGCCAAAACGATGACCTCGTGTATCTATAGGGGAATGAGACAGCAAAACAAAGAAAAGAGGAAGAAAACAGGATGTAAATACTGTACAGTAAAACCTAAAAGTCAACATCTGGAGAATGTTTTAGATGCACTTAAAAGGGAAGTAAGAGTTCAGTTTAAACCAAAGAAATGTGTAAAGGTAAAGGGGGTCAGATGTACAGTACATACTTTGACATGATGATGCAAGGGAGATCTGAAAACCACCTTTGCTCTTTTAATGTCTGTTTTTGGTTTTCTGTTTTAAAAAAAATTGAAATACTGCCTTATATTTAAGAGAATAGTGTCAAAGTAAAAGAAAAAAATAACAGGAAGTGCCATCATTTTTTTGTGAGCCCATTCAGCAAACCTGGACTGCTTCGTTAAATGTGTTCAGGACAATTATCTACTGAAGTTTTTCTCTGCAGTTTTGTGCAGAAGCTGTTATGCAGACCTGARGAAGGAAAGGAGGTGCAATTTGATGAGAGAACGGATATCATCACCATTTTCCACCTAACTGCCCGATATCAGTGTAACTATGTGCATTTATGTTTCCTAAAGTATGCTCTTTGTCAGCTCTCTTACTTTGGAAGTTTCTCTCCATATCATCAAWTAAATTGCAAAGTGCACCCACTTTTTTTCCTTTCTTTTTACTCCAATGTGATTGAAATGTTTCCTGTACAGTAAAGCACAAGCAAACAGCTTTAGTTTTCAAACTAATGTTTCTGCTGCAGCTTAACCTGGACTTTACATTCCAATAAGGCAAATATTTAGCTCTCCGAATCGTGTGGCRAGTTATAGCATTTGAGTGGTTGGCACTGTGCCGAGTGCCGGTATCCCCAGCTTTATAAAAGCAGAGACATTGTGATGTTTTGAAGCCATGGTGGACTTTGTTTACAGCGAGTGAGGTGCTGCAGCAAGGCGATTATTGTGTCACAACTGAAGCTATACTTGAGTGCTTGTGCTTTGCCTGTAAAAAATAAAAATAAAAAATTAGTGAACCTGAGTTTACTTCTTTGACTAAGGAAACTGAAAGTAATTTTCAAATCACTTAGTAAGGGTGTAAATACTCTTCTGCCTCAAAACAAATAAATAAACATGCAAGCAAGCATGCATTAAAGCCTGTCGCTCTGTTCTTCATTGGGAGCGGAAAGCTTCTGTTAGCAGCTAATCTCTCAGAGTGCTCTACTCAGTGAGGTGACACTCTGTTCGCCTATTAAACTCTGGTATGYCATCTTATAATAGTACTAACCCTCACCAAAATGCTACATACACTTGAAAAGGTATACCTTTGTGACAAAAAAAATCCCTTGCTAAAACTGATGGGCTTGCACATTGCATGTACAAATATGGGTGCAGTGTTTATTGGCTGCTGAAGGCAAACAGCAGTAATTTTATTTGCCTGTGTCTGTGTGCAAGTGTGTGTGTGTGTGTGTGTGTGTGTGTGTGTGTGTGTGTGTTTTTAGCTTTAACATTTCTCAAGAACTAGTTGGTTGCAGATGTTCATGTGCCAAGTCAACCATATTCAAGATGGCTGCCAGGGCTAAGCAACCTTACCAATACAAAAATGGTCATAACTCATGGGCTCTTCCATGTCTATGGGTTCATGTGAAATTTCAAGCTTGCACATGTAGATGTGCACACRTGGGTTTGCAACGATGCATGAAGTWGAAAAATGTTCAACTTTTGTCACTGTCGCATGGCACCACGACCAATCAGAGACCTGACCAATGAGAAGAGAGTATGCTACACACTCAGCAACCRCTTTCAACATGGAGAAAAGCATTACTTTATCCGTGTCTGACTTTGCCATTTTACGTGACACRTCACAAAATGATTMTAGATGTACACATAAAAAGGCAGCTTTACTCRTTGGCACCAGGGTGAAGCTGTCCAGTACGTTTTCTCTACAGGAAGACATTTCTTAACGTGCGTTTCTGCAACTTTGCATTGCAAAATTTGTTTCGTTTACACCCTATCAATACCAAAAATCATATTTCTTGGAGACAAGGGGCCTGAGAGCGTGATCAACGCTGCCATTGCTATCTCGTCCCGTGGCTTGGGTTGCCATCTGTCACTGTTGTTTGTCACTCCCCATTTATTGAGCCCTTCCATCAGTTGATACTGAGCTAATGTGCTGTGATAACAGCTAAGAGTTGATCTGAATTCCTATTTGACTGTGCACAATATGACCGAGCTTAGACTGAGATATGGTGAGAAGCTCGGTCATCCGGGAGGGACTCAGAGTAGAGCCGCTGCTCCTCCACGTCGAGAGGAGCCA